GACTGAAGAACAAAAGGACAGCAACTTATCTGTTCCCCTTCCCCCAATTCCCCAGCGCTGTTTCCAGCCCCCAACTCCCCCAGTAAAAATCTTTAAAAAATAAAGAAAATAAGATTGTAGCACAAAAAGGCATGTTCCCTTTAACTTCATATAACAAGGATACGTACCGTATTCTGGAAAAACACAAGGTGAAAACCAAATAGTCATTGAATCTGATTATGGATTTTGGTTTAAGATCTGATGCTATACTTGCCCTATAAATTGGGATTAACCTCTTTAAATATCAGTGGATATAATAATAGAATTTAATTCCAATGATTGTTAGGAAATATTGGATATGCTAAGAGCTCAGCCAGTCTTTGATCCATAATATGTTCTTAAGAACATTAACTTTTTTCCTTATTCTTAACTGCTTCCACATTTCTGGATGTCCTTGATTAGGATTCTGTTCACTCCAGTGGCTCTGTTCATCCATCTATTTCATAATGCCTGTTCTGATAGACTGCTCATATTCACCCTCCCCACCCCTCCAGCTCTCTAGGGAAAGGAAACATGTAGAACTTCAAGGGGCTTAGTCACTTTTAATTTTAAGAAATCAGCAAAATCAATATGTGAATTGGAAATAAAACATTCAATAAACATTTCTTATGGAGTCCTTGATTTGAATTGTGTTTGGCAAAAATAAATACCCATGTTTATATATTCCTGAGTTTATATGGGTTCAGTTTAATAAAATACCATGAGTTAAAGTAGGGAAAGTAAAAACAACATGCTTCAATAATGAAGCAATATAAATAATACAGAGCAGACAACTTTTATTTTGCTTCTCTTTTGGGGTAGATTAAGGCAGATGCAGGAATGAAGAAACTTTTTGGGTCAAAGGTCTTATTTTCCTTTTCTGTCTCCGTTTCCTCCTTGAAAATGGTCCTATTCTTACATTGTATTTGGGCATAAGAATATAGAACTTTCCTCATACTTAAGTCTTATACCTTTATTTTAATAAATATTACTGTAATGGAATAATATGCTTTATTAAAGTCACAAAAATGTAATAATTATCAATGGATATTGAAACACCTATTTATGAAAATGGAAATATACAGAAAATTCTAAGACAGTTTTATCTTTTGTTCTCAGTTTGTCTTTTTAAAAAAAAAACAAAAAACCAAATCATTCATTAAAGCTTTTAGGAAGACTACAGTAACTAATTGGGAATTTATTTACTTTGCCTGAGATGTGTCAATTTTATATCACTGTGATGTATGATTGTTTCTAAAATTAATATGGCCAGCCACAAACAACATTTTCCAGTAGCCACAATACTTACTTACTAGGATAGATTTGTTGACTCAGAGAATATCATTTCCAGTTGAATATAAAACAAGTTCAGAAGATCACATTAGCTAATTTTAGTGTAGTAAGTTGATTTTAGCATGAAATTACCAAGTATACTTCAGCACCATTTTCACAAAGAAGACAAAAGGTTTCTATTTTCACTTCAACTAATGTCCTATAGCCACTTATCAGTGATTTTCTTATATTTGTTTTTACTATACCTCCATCTTTCCACTTTCTGTGGACTAAGAGCCATCATAGTCATTTAATTGATTTTGGGGAAAAATATTTTTGTTGCATAATAACAATGATTCTTCCCTATTCTTAAATAAGCAGATATTCTTCAGCAGTTGTTTTTAGTATGAGCTAAGCCAGGGAGCTCAGATTCCAATGAAATTTCATATGTGTCCCTAGAAATAATCTTTCTAAAAAGTAAACATTTATTTAATGGATGCTTTATGGGTTAGTTTAGCACCATTATATTAAATTATTATCATTCCAAATGGAGAATAAATTGGTACCTTTGGAATTAAGACTATAAAAATACTCTTTTATATTTTATTGGGATATTTGGTTTTTAATATATTTGCCCTTTTCTGAGAAGTATGATCTAGGTCTTCAAGAAACTCAGGATATAATTGTAAAGGTAGCAACACCTATAAAACAATGGAACATCATGAATACAGAGTATTATAAAATACTAAGTGTGCAGGCCAGGTATCATAACCTAGATAGTCCCAGGAAATTATAAAGTGGGATTTATTTTGTACTCAGAATGGAATATATTAGGTTCCAAATTTTTAAATACCTGAACTTTAAAGAAAATATAAGCAGCTTGTGCCTGGTTTCCTTTAAAACCAATTTTTGTCTCTGACTTAAGGGTAAAGCTCTGAAGTAAGATTGTAATAGGTCCATTCCATTTCAGAGCATGCTTGTTACATTAGGTTAGCATTAGGTCACTCCTGGTCAGAAGGAGGTAGGATAGTTCAGTCTATGAATTTGACCTGATTAAGTCAGGAAAAGCTCCCTAGAACTGAGTTTAATTCTCCTGAGCCAATCGCAGCCTCAATCACAAATTGCAGAGCTGAGTAGTATCTGTGAATTGATTAAATGGTATGGACTTTCAAAGCATTTTCTTTCTTTAAATTGTAGTCTTACCAAACAGTACAAGGAGTTCTTCATGAATACATGTCTCCATCTGAATATGAATTACTCAATAGCTATATCTCCCAGAATACTTAACCTTAATACCATTCTTAGTTTTAAAATCTCTTTTCTGAACAGTAAATGAAAATTGATGAGGAGAATGGACATTTAAATGTTATTAGCATTAATTGATTCTAAAAATTCTTTCTAGCATTTCAGTGGTACCGTTTGTTTTTAAATTAAGAAAAAACAGTTGCTGAGATGTTGTGCTGAACTATTTTTTAAACTTCTTCTATTACTAAATATTGAAACACCTATTTTCCTCAGAGACCAGCACGCTGATGATGTCAAAGAAGACTTTGAAGAGAGAACAGAAAGTGAAATGAGGACATCACATGAAGCCAGAGGTAGCAGTAATAATCTCATTTTATTGATGGATAGTACTATTCTCACAAATCAAAACTTAACTGTAATATGGAAGTCACTTTTATATTAAAGATAAACATCATTTGGTAGGTTCCATTATCACAGGCAATAAGATTATTGTTAAGGTTAAATATAGCATGTAATTCATAATGGTATGGATTTACCTACAACCTATATTTAGTCTCTTTCACATATCTGTACAATATTGTACGTAAAGTTCGGGTAAGACATCGTATTTGGTCCTTGTTATATATTTTCTTTGGTATTGTCGATGTCACTTGCTTTACATATTTTAAGCTCATCTCAAAATGTGTATTGAAATCCAAGTGGCAATAATATGGTCTTAATCTAATATCTCAAATGAAAATCACTTGAACAGATGTTTTAAGTTGTACTGGAGAAAGTAACATGTCTCACATCTTTATTTTAAAAGACATTAGAATGGTTTAAGCAAAGAAGTTGTAATGACTGTTAGTCATAGTATAGATTGTATTTACAATTTATACATAGCTATATAATTGTTATTTATTTTTCATAAGAAAATGTTGGCCTGATTATGATTTTAATGATAGTCCTTGGGGATTTTGCTTTTCATGTGCATTTTTTTTTCATTCAGATTATCATATAAGATTTGAGAATGGCACCAAACGACTGTTTGCTTGTAATGACCTATTCCATAAGTGATGCTTTGATTTCCATATCTGATTTTCGTAAAGCAGCAATTTGTGATTTAAAGTTATATTCACTGCTGTCTTCAGCATGTTCCATAGTGTTTAATGTGGCAGCGTATACAGACACTGCAGATAGCCAGGGTCCAACTTCTGCTCAACTACCTGCTTGGCTGGGTGATCTTGGACATTTCACTGAACGCCACACAGTGCATCTGTTTCCTTATTTATCCAGAAGGGTGATGATGGTAACTCCACAGGCTTGTCCTGGGGATTCAGAACAGTACTGGCACCTAGGCAGTGCTAAGCAATATTTGATTATTTTAAATGTTTCTGGTCATTTAGAAAGGCAGAAAAACATTTAATGTTTGAAGGTTTTGTCATTAGGGTATATTGGGTTCTTAGAAAAAGGTGTCTTCCTGTCTTTGTGGATAGCGATTAGGTGCACGGCCTTCGTTCTCATCTCAGCCCCACTCGCTCACTGCTTGGCTGGCTCTGGGCAGAGTTACCGCGTATGTAAAATTATGTTGTAATACTACCTGCGTCATTGGATTATCATGAGCAATAGATGTGTCTGTCAGTGGCTGAAGTATTAGCTTCAAGAAGCAGTAGTAGTAGTAGTATTGTTGAATAAGTGTCTGTTGAATGGAATTATCTGATTATTGAAAGTTCATATCGATTTGTAATACAATCTCCTAGATTCTGGTGTTCCTTTTCTTGTTTTCGTCTGTTTTTTGTCTTTCATCACATCTTTATGTTTGGATGACCTTTTTATTTTATTTTTTTTTATTAAAATATAGTTGATATACAACATCGTATTAGTTTCAGGTGACTCGATACCTATATACTTTACAAAGTGATCACCATAAATCTAGTAACCATCTGTACAAAGTTATTATGATATTATTGACTGTATTCCCTATGTTGTACATTACATCCTCATGACTTACTAATTATATAACTGGAAGTTTGTACTGCTCAATCCCCTTCACCTTTTCACACTTCTGCGGGCCACCCTTCCCTCTGGCAACCATCACCTTGCTCTCTGTATCCATGTGGACTCTGGAATTTTTGAGGGTTAAAACCTTTTCAGTTTATTCCTGACTTTGTGATCTATTGAACTTTTATTTGCTGACTCAATTCTGATAGTTCTTTTCTGAAAATAGTCTATTTAATGAAGAATTTTAGGTTTATTAACATATGATATGAGTGATGTTCTCTTTTTTTGTGGTAGTTTTATGTCTTTTCAAACATATATTTTTCTTGATTCACATTGCCTGAGTTCTCCTGTTTTATTATTCTTTCCTCTATTCTTTCTCTTTCTATTATTCTAGAAGTATTGCCAGGATTCATATATAATTCTTAATTGCTTATCTCACCTACAAAACCTGCAGTTTAATATGCATATTTTATGCACTGCCTTATTTTTTACTAGTGAAAGGGAGTCACATAAAATAATTTGCTTTGACAATTCTTGCATATATGTTCCCAACTGAGATTCACCTATTAATATCTCATCCAGATTTAGCTTCCTAAAATGAGCTTGATAACTTGCCTTGTTTTTCAGATTTTTAAAATATTTTGTGTAAAACTTTCATGAAATTTTATTTGTAGTAAAATTATGTTATGATCATGTCAGCTTTCATTTAATTTCTTTCTTAGCTTTAGATTTCCTTTATGTTTTTGAAAATGTTTCCAGATTCATTTTGTATGGGAAAGATTTAGATTTTACTTTCCAACTTTACCTTTTAATAGTTTATTGGTTGTTTCTGTACCCCATGGGCCTTTAGTCCAAATTGAGCTCTTATGGTGTCTGAAGGCCCCTGTACCTTGGTGATATTGGGGGTAGCTCAGATCCCAGTCCATGGGTGGACGTTCAGTTCTTTCTGTGACCCTGCCTCTCAGTTCTGAGTAGAGCCATGACCTAGTGTCTTAGATCGGGCTCTCTGGAAACAGACGTTGAGACTGTTGTATGCAGGTTTATAGGTAGAGTACTCATGGGAACAATACTTATGAGAGAAGCAGGATTGGGAAAATGAGAAGTTGAGCTATGATATAGTTACTACAGAGGCCTTAGTCAATCCCATGAGGCGCTCTGGATGATAAATTTAGAGTTATCCTGAATTCAGGCGAGAGAACCAGGCCTTTGAGTCTCTACATTGACCAGTCCTTGGGTGTCGGCCTAGAGGGGGCCGTATCCCTGGGCAAGGAAGCTCCCTTTGGCTTAGGGAAGTTACTGTAGAGGAGGCAGCTCTGAGCCATCAGCAGTCAGCAGGTAGGAGAATAAATGTCTTGGTTCTGAAGGGTAATTTGGGTGGTATACTGCAGTTTCCTCTACATCCAGCAAGTTGTTTGGTCTCTGAATTCCCTTTAAGAAAAATAAAACAAAACTGAAAAACAAACCAAAACATCCTTTCACATATGCAAGGTTAGTCCAGCCCTATTCAATTCAATCTTTTGGTTTCAAACAATAAACTTGACTTCTAAATGCAATCTTTTTTATTATTATTATTATTATTATTTTGCCTGAGATGTCATGAGCTCTCTTGATTTTTTTTAATTAAAAAATTTTTTAGACCCAGGTCTTCTTTAAGTCCAGAAAACTTCCTTCAGTGATAATTTTGTTATTATTTCTGCTGTATTCTCTTTTGTTGACTGGTAATACCTATTATCTTGGGTTAGATCCAAGGGATGATACTTAAAATATTTAACAGTGGATTTGGCAGCCAGCATTGCACAGGACAATTAAAACAACAGTGTTCTTAGTGCTAGAGCAGAGTTTGGAAGCTGCCATGAGTTACCTTTAGTTGCTGGAGCTCAGGAGAGTCCCACAAAGGGAAATATTTTAATATTTTAACAGCTGTATATTTTTTTATGTTTCTCAAGTTGAAACATCTTACTCAGCCTCTTACTCTATCAAGTCTACTGTATATTGCCTTTAACGTGAATTTTAACAGTAGTAGTTTTTACCTTCCTTTAATTTCCTATATTGGCTTGTTCTTTACATTCAAATTCTTGTATTCCTGGGAAAGGTATAGTTTTGTTTTCTCTCTCATGGAAGCATTTTCTGTCATGGGTGGCTGATATGCAGAACAAGTTGAATTCCATTTTGTAATGTGCTAGATTCTCACTTGAAAGATCAGGCTTGCTTTTTGCCTCCGTAGCAATTGATTTGTTATTTTGGTCGTTACCCTTGAAATGATATTCAGATATCTTCCATGCCTGGGTTAAGTATGTTGGAGCTAATTTTATCTACATGTTTTTAAAGCCATGATCCATTTATTTGATCTAGTAACC